AAACTAAATTCTCACATCATATAGTCGGTGTGACTAAGCATCTCAATTTATGCACGGCGGGGAAGGTCCTGTTAAAGATGGAAAAGTTCAAGGCAACTCACTCTACATCGGGTACCTCCGCTAGTACAATATAAAGCAGCATTAACTGCTAGTGGAGCGACGAGAGGTTCTTCGTATGAGAAAGTGTGTACAGAATTAGGACGGATTCCTCTACGTGTTAAGCCGACAAATACAGTTGAACCGTTAGTTAAGTATTCCATCCTTGAAATACATCGTCTTTGTTTGCTTTTTAAAATATTAAGAGGTAGAACTATCATTGATTTATCATCTTCTTTCATTCAACACACTACTTATACGCAAGAGCATAGTCTTCGTAGTCAAAGTAGAAATCTTTTGCCTTCTACTAAAGCTGGTGTTCAAGTGTATGATAGCTCCTTTTTACCGGCGGCTAACGATGGAACGATAATCAGAGAACTTTAGCAATGGTGCTGGATGCTGTACTTGTACTTTTGCGGTTTCCAAGCTCAACAAGGAGACGGTATGTAGCTTGAACTAATTCATCCTGTAGTATTATGACGCACAAGTCTGTCATGTCAACTGCGAACTCTCCGATTTCTCTGTGATTTCAATGCATACAAAATGACTGCACCTCTAACACTATCAGTGTAAAATAGTTTATTTATACAGTAATTATATTTTATTGCATACAATTAAAGAATTTTAGATCTATAAAAATCTTAGCTGTGCTACAAAATGATATTGATTAACAGGTTCCATACCAAATAAACTGAAATAAAATCTGTTTGTTCCAACAGGGATATACTGAGTGTATGTTCTGTCTTTCAAAGGAGTTGAAGCTTGCCTCGTATTTAAACCTTTTGGATTTTTGCTTGTTAATGATGTATAGGCTTGAGTACGTCCAACAGTGTTGTTGACTATTAAGTCAATAAACATTCCATTTTTGTTTGGTATCATTTGTGTATTCATTTGATAGTAATGATAGAGATTTTGTCCGACTTGATGATTTAAAATTTTGATATTAGGCATTATGAATGCAGGAAAATGACATGTTGCTATTGTCAGATTGTTGATCGCTGTTGTGAGTTCAATGTAGTTTGATAGTCGAAGAGTATAGTCTTTGTCCGATGCAATGGCTATCAATTCTGCATTAGTGATAGTATCACCAATACCGACAGCAAAGACATTCGCCATAGCTGGTCCAGGTAATAAAGGAGCTTCATCAACAACTAGTCGTCCACTGTTGCTGTTTCCATCTGTGAAGACAATGAAGGCTCGTGTTACAGCTTGTTCTGGTCTACGACATACACCTTCACAATGATGTCTTGCCACATACAGCGCATCACCAGTTGCCGTGCCTGTATCCAATTTCTCCAAATCTTTGATTCTTTCAACCAGAGATATCTTATCATAATTATAGACATCAAATGCTGCCCATAAATCAACTGTTGTGGCATAATTGACAACAGCTACATGAGCACCTTTTTCGTTGATATTTAATCGTTCAACAAGATCAACCATGGCATATTTAGCATGGGCAAATTCGGGTACTGATATACTACCAGATGAGTCGAGAATTAAAATTAGGTCTAACGCCAAATCACATGTTGTATTTTCTCCATTCAAACCATGTATGATGGTTAAAATTGTGACAAATTGTGCTCCAAGGAAATACATGTTCGGAGTCTACAAGAATCCCTATTTGATTCTTAAAAAAGTGATCGTATTTAACTTTCGTATCATATCAAAAATAATCCTTGAAGAGAAACTTGATACTTTATACAAGTTTTTCTGTGAAAAAGTATTCTAACTCAAGTTATTTAATCTCATTTAATCACTTTCTGAAATTGTAGATCGCTGTGATATTCTTGCATCTTTTGTCAATATTGTTGATGAGAAATCAACTGCAGTGCTCATCATTCTGATTCACTTATCCATTGACTGGAAAGTAATTGCCAGTATCAAATTGTTTCTACAGAATAAAATAATTACTTTTCTTGTTCACATTACCTTCTGAAGAATATTCTCAACAAGCAAGAGCAGGCTAATACTACGACAGTTCTGACGACCATCGTTGTTCTTGTAAGGCAAGAGATAAGTGAGGCACATTCCGAATTCTTAAATTATTATTTCTAATCACTCGTTTTATCTCTTGGCGTGTACGTTTGTCTACCCGCTAATAACTTGTGTCTCCACACTGACACAGTGGGGGATCTATCTAAAATATGCTGCGAATTTGTCTCTGATTTGATATGTAAGCTTCCTAATATAATGTAATGCGAAAAGGTTTTCACGAGACCCTACAAAGATCCCAAGAGGTCTAGTGCTATTTCTAAATTGAAGACAATGCTCACACCTTCCTTCGGTCGGCGTTCGCAACCGGGGTACCAGAGAAATATTATGAACTTCTCTCATAGCGCACCATCTAATATCAAGGTAAAACGTATTCTGGACGCCCTTCGAAGATGCCAGGGGCCGTGGAAGCATCACTAATCGATTCGCCACGATAGACTACCTATATTCTGTAAGTTTTATTCTGCCCTAGATGATTCTTTGGTGTTATCGAAAGTAGCTGATTTCTAGCGACATTCACCTCCGAACTACAGCAAAAAGTTTGCTTAGCTTTTCTTTCTCTGCATTGGTAGATATTTCGGCCATCTCTCTGAATATTTTCTCTCTCATAATTAAAACAGAATTTTCTGCATTTACTTTCTTATGATTGGCTTATATGTACAGTATCTGATAGCCATTTTTCCATATTTTCACACATATACCCACAACCACTTTGTAAGACGCTAGACTAAAGTCAATGGCATGGTAGAATATCACCTCATTTTCATGGAACGAAGTTCAGAAGGACTTTTCGACTAATATAATCCATCCTAGAGACCGCTCAAAACCATTTTCCGACTCCCATAGTCAAATACCTCTTGTGCATCATTCTCATCTAGCGAAGTTAAGATGACAGTTTCGACCAATAGAATCGATCGCAGAAGTCGTTCACCTTCAGTTTCTGATTTTCCATAGTCGCATACCTGTTGCACACCATTTTCACCCAATGAAATATAGATAGGATTAAAAATATGATGAAGATAATAGTTGAAAGATGTTGATTACCTAGATCATGTCACCCTGCTACTCAGCATCTTTGAATATGTTAAAGTATTTGATATGATTGCAGAGTGTAGGAGGAGAGACATTTCTGTCTAACAAAATGTAAGTGGAGAGAGGTGCGGTCAGGAACTATAAAGTTCGAAATTCGAAAGAAAGATCACATGCAAATAAAAAAATCTTTCAAAAACTTCTATTTCTAATTACTATTTCTCTTTCATGAACTGGTATGTCACAGAGTCTTCTTAATAATACACGAGATATTACCGTTCTTCTTCCTTCTGCTTTCTTTTCTTCGTACTTAGGATGGATGAATTACTTGTGCATATGTGTAAAAACACCGACATGCAGAAAGCAAGCATGAATAAAAAGTTCGAAATTACTGTTATTGATTACTAAGGAAATCACATCGTTGATCTGAAAGTGTTGTATACTACAGAGGAAAATGTGAGAGATTAGAAACCTTTCGAGTTTCTGTTTGTCGAACTGGATCCGATTTATTCCTCCCAGTTGGATCTTGGAGTTTGAATGTTCCTACGGGATAGACATGAGTGAACGGTCCAAATCAACATGGGTCCATATTTTTTGCGCTGTTCATTTTTAACTAAAACTCAATCATTAATCAATTAATTATTACCAACTTGTCGACTACAAATCCACAGATACGTATCTGTCATCGTTTGACTCTGGAGTCCGTTCTGAGTCCCATGATCAATACTTTTTCATGTCCTGGACTTCTGAAAACGAACGAAACTCTAGGCCATTGACCATTCAGAATCTCGTTGCAATCTTTGTAGTCTGAAAATATAGCTGACTGTTTTGTAAACATCAGATTCGACCTAGTTTGGGCAACTAAATCGCCGACACAACTTCGAATAACCTTGACCTTTCTGAGTTAGCTCAAATTATGTAACACAGTGAGACATCGGTGAGATCGAAAAAAGCCTGATAAATATATTGCTCATTCAGATGACTTCATAGTAACTTCGCGATAGAAATAAAAATGTTGAATCAATACTCTACAATTTCAAGTCGCTTGAATTCATTTTGAGCGATCTATTAATCATTGTCATTCCACTAATATACATAAAATGTTATTCAGCTCTTTTATTTCTAAACATCTGTACAATATTTAAACTAACAAAATGCAATTGAAGCGTATGAAACAAAAGAAAAACATGTTATCATTATAACATATAATTATACTATTCATTTATTCTGTAATTCTAAGCGGTACCAATTTCCACTAAAATTTGCTCAATCAGCAATACAATATAACGCTAGCATCCCATCAAATACAATCATGCAATAAACTGACACTTTATTTATGCAAGCTAAACGTAAGTGCAGTTCTCAATAATGAAGAAAAATAAATTTGTCCATTTTCCTCTTCTTTGCTAAAGTCGCTCAATTTGTCGTTCTGTCTCATCTGGGTAAACAAAGGCAGTCTATCCAACATTCAGACCAGCTTATCGTATGACATGGTGTTCACCGGTACTTGAATGTCGACTTCTTCGATCTGTCTGGCTGTAATAATGTTCAAAGTTATAACTCACTGTGGCTGCATTCGATGTTGCATTATTGTCCAGGAACACATCGGAATCCGAATCAGTCTCAGACACATAGCCTGATGAGTAGTGTCCATTCAAAATCTCTTGGCCGCTTGCCTGATGATCAGCAAACGCATCTACTCCTTCAGCAGTCATTAGTCGTGCACTGTTGTTATACATTGTCTGATAACCATAGCTCACACCGTATTTTGACATTTGAGAAAGAACGTAGTCCGATGAAGTCAGAGTAGGACCGAACTGTTGATAGTACACCATTGGATCAGCACGAACAGTGCCCAAATTTTGCACATTTCTGATTATATCAACTGATGGAGCATCCCATGTTATTATCGTATTTTTCTGTATGGGCAAAGGAGGCAGTGCTGGAGCACGCTGAACAATAACACGACTTTGCTCTTGTTGTTTATAAGGTAACCATTTCTCGATAATAACTGGTTGAGGCTTCGGTGGCAAAGCCGACATTCGTTCGATAATCACTTTTCGAGGAGCTGGTGGTGGCGGAGGAATGACTTTTTCAACAAGTCGAGATGGGATGATCGCGGGAGGTTCAGGAGGACGTTCTCGGACAATGACGGGTGGTGGTGTGAGTGCTACAGGAGGACGCTGTTTAATTACAATAGGAGGAGCGTCGGGCAAAGCAGGAGCTCTTATTTCACGAATGACGATTGGACCCGGCGGCGGTGGTGTTGGAGGTTGCAAATAACGAACGGCCACGTCTTGTTTGTATGTAATATGGTCGAAATTTGGTCGGTAAACCATTTCTGGATGTGGATCATAGTTAACCGGATAATTATTTAGATCGAGTGGGACGAGAGGATAACTGATAGGACCCAAATTCCCCCTACTTGTACTTCGATATAAAGAACTTGATGAAGCATAGTTAAATGGTGCTGATGAGGCTAAATTTTCAGTGCTTTCCATCCCATCAGCTGTCATAAAACTGTTTCGGCGTTGATTCTCCGCCATGTTCAAAACATCAATGCTTTTTGACATCGCATTAGCAACAATATCGGTCTGAATACGTTCTGTGCTTTGTCGTCGATCACCAGTACGTGGAATTGAGAAGGGCCACTGGACTATTCCTTGTATGTCCACATTCTCAGCAGCGCTTGGAAATTGAAAAATGGCTTCGTTTTGTTTCAACAACGGTGAACGACAAATGTCCATTGATGAACATGATGAGGTTTCAATGATATTTTCTGTCATAATTGTTGTTTTTTATTTAGAGAAAATGAAGTGTCTGTGTTTGTTAAGTGAATGAAGTAGTAGAACTATCTCATTTATATACCCTTAGTTAAATCTAGCCATGAATCAATCCGTTGACTAACATCGATTTTTCTTTCTGCTTTTCACGTGTCCGATTGACACCTACTGTTACCTATCACAGAAAGAGCAATGACGATTGCTCCATTAATGCAATAGAAGAAGAAGAATAGAAAGAAATGTATCGATTCGATACAGGTATCACATAAAATGATTAATAAGTTGAAGACAATACTTTAACTGTTTATGATTAATAATCACGATTGGTGTTATCTGTTCACAAGTCTATGTTTCATTTCGAGCAGCATAGATAGTAAGTAGGCACAAACACACGTCTAAGAAGTATCGATGTCATATTTAATAATCTTTCAACACAACACTGTAGCCTACGATAAGAATCCTCAGTAGTCCTCATCTTTATACAGAGGCATGAGAATTTCTTCAGCTTAGCTGTTTCAAACTGCAGGTTGAACCGAGAATATGAGAGTGCTTCATACTTTTTTACAAAACACATGAGGTATGAATACACTGCGTCTCACAATCATCCAGAAATTTCCGTTCAAGGATAGTTTCTTTGGATGAACTAGATGCCGCATGAGCCGTAGACCTACTCTCTAAAAAATATCCGTAGTTTACAAAATGCAGAAGCGTTTTTATTTCGATGAAAAACGAAAAATGGTTTTATATTATTTTGTAAAACGAATAAACGTTTTCGCATTCAATGAAAAACGTA